AAAAAGTGCATTCCATTCTTCCCTGACATCCCTTTTCTGTGTAAAAGGTTGCTGTGGTTGCCACAGAGACATTACATGATTGTGAATGGGAGAGGCGATGGCCCCAGCTGTTGTGAATGGGAAGGGAAATGGACTGTTAGACAATCTTAGTATTAAATTGCCACCCACACTGTAGAAAAGTTTGGGAATCCTTTCTATGCAGTGATTCATTTATTCACATCAATACTGCGTAGGGTCCATCCATAGTTTTTTCTGGTTTAATGTTCCTATCCTTGTTTCGTCTTGGACTATGGTATCAGACCAGGTGCTCTCAAATAAATTTACCCAGATGGCATTGCAACATAAAATCTTTCTGAAACTTATCCTGCGGGGAGACAAATCTTGTAGAGGTTATTTTTTTTTTTGCTTTCCAGTCTTGAAAATCAGAACAGATTGAATCCCCAGTTGTGGACATGATTTTTCTCTTGTCACCCCAGCCCCACACCCCTTTGCCATCACTGGTTAATAAGGGGACATAAGGCACCCACTGGATAGACTATCTGCATTGTGGCTCACTCCATGGAGGGGAGAGACGTCTTCATGAGGTTGCTGCTCCTCATCTTACATAGGGAGTGGAGAGTGAGCAGGCAGGATAGGGGAATGGGTGGAACTTTGGTTGTGCTCCACCAATACGCTTGCAAGCAGAGCTAAGCTGGCACAAAGGGGTAATTAATATTCTGTTGGGGAGCAAGGGAGGGAGGAATGGATTGTGACCATGAGGCACAATTCACTCCCTGAAGAAACAGCGGCTGGGGCAGTACCAGCTATGTGCTACCCCTCGTTCACTGCAGGTTGTCATGTCGCAATCTAGCCCTCTATCTATGTCTTTCCAGTTTTCTGCTCGGTTGCACTCTGGATTACCAACCTCCATGGTGTTGCTCATTCACAGCTTTAGACAGCCTGCTGCACAAATGAGCAGTGCAGCCTCATAAGATGTGAACAGTGGAATATTACACATAGTTAAACAATATCAGAATAACCAGCTCTGGCAGCTTCATCGGTGGTGGTGGTGGGTTTTGTGTGTTTTGGGTTTTTTGAGGAATGGTTATTTTTATGAGCAAAATCAGCATTGAACATATATTTAGAAGAGGCAAGAATCTATTTTTTCTAACACTATACTATGGATTATGGCCGTGTACATCTGACAGGACTATTTAATAGTTGCTTTCCTCATTGCAAGCAGCTCCAAGTATGATCTCATCATTACAGATCTTAGCTTGGCAATCATTTGCCTCTCACCTTGCTCAAAGAAAAATCAGGTGATTGAATAATGAGGTATAGAGGAACTGGGAAAAGAAGGGGGAAATTTTGTCGGCACAAACCTTTGGCTGGTCCTGGCTATATGCAGTGGTTTTGACTAGACACTGTTTCTGGGCTATTGGAAAAGTGTGAGCTTTGGATTGTGCCCTAAAACTGCTGCTCCCCTACCTGTTGCCATGCAGCTTTGAATCTTCATGGATCAAAGCCAGCTGGTGCTCTTTGGGGAGGGTGAGTCAATGAGTTGCAAATCATCTCCTGAAAGATGGCAAGTACTTTCAACTCCCATTCAGGTCCATGGGAGCCAAGGTCACTCTCCCCTCCTAGAAAGCAGCCAACACCAGGGCCTCTGCTTAAATGCTTTTGCTAGCAGGGCTCTGGCCACTTAATACAAGCAAACTACTAGCCCAGAACACTGAGGGCTGCACACAGGAAGGTTACAGAACCTTTTGTCATCTTAAGCAGGTACATTGAGTTACAGAAAACATGAGGCCATTTCCACAGCTGTGTTAGGGCAGCTTTGTGCTTCTTCACCTGAGAAGCTGTCCATAAGCCAGAGCAAAGGGCATCCTGTGTGGTTCTTGAGATAGGGGATCATCAGGTGGCCTAGAACTATTGTGGTGGCTCCTACATCATTACCCTTCCTGCAGCTGGTGCAAGGGGGGAGTGGCCATGGGATGAGGTCAGGACATGGCAGAGTGCCCCAGGATTAGGACGATGCAAAGGGAATTTAAAATCACATTTGCACATACACACCCCTTAGCTGTGCTGAACTCAGGAAGTGGCTTATGCTATATTTGTTATCTTTCTATAGTTTAATTCATCTGTCACTCTGTGTGGCCTTATAGCTTCTATAAGGGAACATCACACTGCCCACGTTACCCGATAATGCCTGTTCTTAGATATGTGGGTGCTGCCCTCTGTGAAATCAATGTGGGGCAACATCCATACCACTGAAGTATTAGTGCAAAGAACCTTTAACAATGAAACAATTAGCTAACGACATTGCAGAGCTACACTGTTAAATTCTTGTCTTGTAATCAAACTCCTTGAGAGAGAAGATTTTGTGGAAGTGACTAAAGCTTGATCAAATTATTATTTGTGTTTTTGGTGGTTCTTAGATGCCTCCGTCACGGATCAGGCCCCATAGTGCTAGGTGTTGTACATATACGTAGTGAAAAGAGTGTCCCTTACTTACAATGTAAGTACATGATGTGTGACAACAGGTGGATTCTACAAGCAGACAGGAGGAGCACAAGGTATTAGTGAGCTGATTAAGATTAATATAATAAGCTGTGGTCACAGCACATTAGCTGCCTGGTCATTGGCAAGTGTTTTGTAGGCATTGCAGTAAAGATAAGTCTTAAGAAGAGAGATGGAAGACAATGTACTGGCTTTGCAGCTTTTGACAGGGAACTCTTCACAGGCATGGGAGAAAGTGCAAGGATGTGTGTCGGGAAAATTGGACTAAAGGACAGTAAAGACCAGGTTCAATAAAATTTATTATGAATTTACTCTGTTGTTCTTTAGTAAATTATTCCGATCATCGCTTTCTTTGAATGTAATTATATGCACTCACTAAAGATGAAAGATGAACAATTTCCAGTCTGTGGATTGCTTGTGAACTGTTTGGTTAAGATCTTTGCTTTTCATTATTTGTTGTATGAATTGTTGGGTAAATCACACAGCATTGTTTCTGTCCCCAGCTTGGATGATTGAAATATCTTTTTAAACAGAACAGAAAACAAATAGCAAATGGCACACTTTCTGGGACAGCCTTTCAGATAAATAATCATTTGTACTAAAAATTTGTGAAACTTATTGGATTTGCAGATATTTTGACACATCTGACTGTCTGGAAACCCAAATAATAAATATTAGGTCCTATAAATCCTAGTGGAACAAATTCCATGCTATTAATAAAAAATTTTTTTTTAACTATTTGACCAGGTCTAGAATTGATTGTATCACCATTCCAAAAGACTGTACAATTCATTCCCTCTAAATTGAGTCACAAAACTCTTGGCCACAAATAGTATAAATGTCAGTCTATGAAGAATAGTATCCCAATGTGAAGTTAAACAGTGTTGATCTGTCAGTCAGCTATCCAGTCCTTTGGCTGAGCTAATGGGTTCAAGATGGGTCTTCTGTTATAGCAATGTGGTGGTTCATTGCCAGAGTTTAGGTCTTTTAGATGCTAGGTTGCTTTGGTAACTACAGTTTGTTTCCCGCCAAAATATGTCTGCTTTCTTCGGTGGGAATAGTCTCTGCTCTATTACCAGTCATTTTCCTACAACTAAAATTAAACTCTGCCACATGTTCACCCTTGTATTTGCTTTTATTTTCAGTCCTGACCAGGCAGCTGGTATAAATAACTTTCATCTTCTATTTGTGCTTGTGAGCTCCCTCTAGAGTTAGGTTTATGTATCCTCTTAGACACAAGAATCTTAGCTTTTCTATTCTCTTGTGAGATGGGAAGAGAGAAGCTTTCAGTCTATCTCCATTTGGTGGTGACAAGGACTTCCTTTTGTGCTTGGTTCCTGTGAGGGTTCCAACATTTTTCGGATTAGACGCTATAGCTTGGGATTCAAGTCTTGTCTCTGAAATACCCACTTCCTGGGTCAGGTAATGACAGCCACGGTAGTGTATAATATACTGCCATCTAATGAAAATTTGACGTGGCAAAAAAATATAAGGTCAAGCAAATTCAGAACAAGGCTGCAGAGACAGGGAGCCTCAAAGCAGTGTCAGAAGGGACTGAATAAGATAATGAATATGTTTCTATCCACAATATGTATGGTATACTTTTTAATAGTCCGCTTTCAGTGACTTTAGACTCTCTAGTTCTGAAGAAAACTCCTCTTTTGTCACTTCCCAGGGGAAAAGCACAGAGGAGCCAAGAGGAAAATCAATATCCAGGAGGAGATCTCTGCTAATTGCTCTGTGTGGAGCTGTGTGAATAACTGATTTTCTGCTTTGCTGGCAATTCCAAACAATCTAAGAAAAATCTTTCAGGTCAAATGGTCAACATAAAATGAAACATTTCTAGGGCTGTCAAGTGATTAAAAAGATTAATTGGGCGATTAATCAGGCTGTTAATAATAGAATACCATTTATTTAAATATTTTTGGATATTTTCTACATTTTTGGATGTTTTCAAATATATTCAGTTATAACACACAATACAAAGTGTACAGTCCTCACTGTATATTTTTTGATTACAAATATTTGCACTGTAAAAAAAACAAAAGAAATAGTATTTTTCAATTCACCTAATACAAGTATTGTAGTGCAATCTCTTTATCATGAAAGTTGAACTTACAAATGTAGAATTATGAACAAAATAACTGCATTCAAAAATCAAACAGTATACATTTTAGAGCCTGCAAGTCCACTCAGTCCTACTTCTTGTTCAGCCAGTCACTAAGACAAACAAGTTTGTTTACATTTGCAGGAGATAATGCTGCCTGCTGCTTGTTTACAATGTCATCTGAAAGTGAAAACAGGAGTTCTCATGGCACTGTTGTAACCGGTGTTGCAAGATATCTACGTGCCAGATGCACTGAAGATTCATATGTCCCTTCATGCTTCAACTACCATTCCATGGGACATGCGTCCATGCTGATGACGGGTTCTGCTCAATAACAATCCAAAGCAGAGTGGACCGATACTGTCGCAACCCTATGCTCAGGCATGGCGTCTGGATGGCCAATTGTCGGTCAAAAGGTCACATTGGTGTCGTGTGCAACACATGGGTGTCGTGTGCACCGTCATGGTGCCGTGTGCCTATTCTCGAACTTTCCGTCTGGTCAATTGTAGGTCGCATTGGTACCGTGTGCTACAATACCGGCGTGTCGTGTGCATAAACTTAGTGTGCCGGGTGCAGTATCTGTTGACGTAGAGGGCACCAGCTCGGAACCCGGTTGGTGTAGGAGCGGGGAACCAATCAAATGCTGGCACGAGTAAGGGTCTTCGAATAAAACTATGTCCCGCGCCAAAATCAGTAGGAGTGTCAGCTGAAAGGCCTGATCACCCTTTCAGCCAGGGTCTCCTCCGGATTTAGCCGGCTCGTGTCGCGTCGTTTTGGATTACATCTCGTCATGTCCCTGGTGTCTGTACTGCTGGTCAGCTGTGCCTGGAGTGTGGTATGTGCATTTTAATTTTTGTAAATATTCTGTTTGCTTGGCCTCTTCCCTTTTTCTCCTCCCTTACCTGGTACCAAATCTCGTGTGTATAGTATATAGGGGACGAATTGTTGTATTAATTTGCTGTTGTGGTCAGTTGGTGTATTTTATAGGGTTCAATTCATGCATGTACAGTTTAATCAGTTTTGTATGTCCTGGTTTTTAGTGAACAGTTGATTATAAATCATACGGTTCTTCGTTGTTGAATGTAAATAGACTGTTTCAAGTTACATATATTACTGTTCTGGTGATACTTTTGATGGATGATTTGTTTCTCTTTTAATTAGATTTGTGTAAATATTTTTGCCCTGACAGTGTTGCTAGTAGTAAAGGTATTCCTCCCCAGCCCAAGTTGTAATTCATTCCCCATTAATAAACAACCACTTGTTTTGAATTGCAATCTGTCTTCGTTTCAATTTTCCTCTTTCACTCGAATACTCATTCAGAACGGTGTTGGTCTTGGACAGATACATGTTCATTTTCATTATCTGAATCAGATGCCACCAGCAGAAGGTTGATTTTTCTTTTTTGGTGGTTCAGGTTCTGTAGTTTCCGCATCTGAGTGTTGCTCTTTTAAGACTTCTGAAAACATGCTCTATACCTCGTCCCTCTCAGATTTTTGGAAGGCACTTCAGATTCTTAAACCTTGGGTCGAGTGTTGTAGCTATCTTTAGAAATCTCTCATTGGTACCTTCTTTGCGTTTTGTCAAATCTGCAGTGAAAGTATTCTTAAAATGAACAACATGTGCTGGGTCATCATCCAAGACTGCTATAACTAGATCAGAGCAGTTGGGAGGGGTGTGAAAGTTTCAGATCTCTGGGGTATATATGGAGAGTAAAGCATCAGATGTTCAAACATCTGGCCCATAATGAACTAGTAGACTGGGGGATCGGGGCTGTGATTAGTTTGTTCACCAGTTAGTGTGTGGAATGGGGGAAACAACTGTGGAAATCTGCTATTCCATCTTTGTTTCCTATATGAGCTGCCCAAGTTCAATAAGGAAACTTCTGATCTCTGAGGAGGATGGGCTGGCTTACAAGGTCAGAGTTAAGGTTGTCTGTGAAACCGTAAATATTTAAAAATCTCCAAGTTCACTTTTGTATATATTCTGGTTAGGCTCTTTTTGCCTGTGTTGAGGGAAAAGTGTGTGTGCGTGTGTTGTTTCTAACTTTAACTCTATCCTCCTGATGGAGATTGTCATCTGGGAATTTCCTTACTGATTTTGGGTTGTTGTTTTTTTAAAGAAGTGTTCAAAAACATTGAAAACTTTATTTTTTTCCTTTCTAACACCATTTTAAAGTGTAAAGGTTTAACAATAGAGAGGCTTGTTTGTTCTTCATCCTTTACTATCTTACTGTTTTTCACACTTATGGAAACAAAAATGAATCCAGCCCAGCAGAACTCCTCTTAATGCCTCGGGAGGAGTGGGGAGGAGAAGCATGGGCTTAATTATGAAGGACCCAGTTTTGCTACCTTTACTCATTTTGATGATGAAAGTGCTCCTCTGCAGGAATAAGGGTTGCAGAATGAGGTCGTTAATAACTGCACTATTTCTCTCAGAGCAGGTAGGCCAGGGCTTCCTTGCCTCATCCCCATCCTTCCTAACCTCCTCTCTTGGTGTCCCGTTCCCCAGTAGAAATGGGGGTCAGCAGTCCCTGTGTTCCCCCAAGCAAGGGTCTGTTGCTGGAAGAGGCCCTGGGCCTAGCTGCAAAAAATGGATGAAGGTTCTTGTACACCCCCATCCTCCCACGGGCCAGCACAATGGCCTCTTTATGATTTGGCCAAAACAAACCAACAAAACAAGATATCTGCAACCTCACTTGTTTTGCCACCAGAGCATGTAATTTCTATGAGCTGGAGATATTTGGCTCATGGGAACTTATCACCTCCACTAGGTGTCTCTGTCTACAGCGCCTGTATAATCCTTGAACCATAACTATTGCTTCGTAGAGCTTAAAGGATTTGCAAGCATTACCTGTGAACCTTGCAAAGTTCACAGACAGAGGGAGTTTCTAAATAGGTTTCCACGCTCTGCCTTCTAAGGGTCACACTGGGGCCATAATGCTCAGCATGGAGCTTACAGCCAAGGACCTTGTCACTCTGGAGAGACACATAAGCTTAGTAGTAATAAGCAGCAGGTCACTTGGGGGTAAGGAAGCCAGTATAGAGCCAGAAAAAGGCTTGCCTGGCCTCAATGGTGCACAGAAATGGTTGGGGAGGTGCTCTGTGCACCCATTAGTGTGAACATCCTCATTCCACATGCTTATGTGCAGGCCATGGGTGGCGCATGAACTGCCAGCTAGGGTAGGCTAGCCCCCAGCCCCACCTGTTCCACCTGAAGCCCTGCCCCTTCTGTGCCCCCACCCCAGAGCCCAGAGCGTGCCCCACCCCCCCTCACACACAGCCACCGGCCCCAACCCCGGAGCACTGGGAGGGAGGGTGGACGGCATGCACGGTTGCAGCCCCTGGAGTGCCGGGAGGGAAGGCGGCCCAGCCGTGGCCAGCACTGGCGCCATACATGCACAGTGACAGCAAGCGGGGGAGGGGGACTGGGGCGCAGAGTGGGTGGGGTCACGTTTGGCTGCTCGGGGAGGCACAGCCTCCCCCAGACAGCCTATGGTACCTGCTGCCCATGGTGCAGATACCTATGTGCTAAGCTTGAGCACATTTCTGTACCTGCACATTGTTTGTGTCGCTGAAGATGTAAACAGAAGGTTTGTTCAAATTACAGAAAAGTGTCCTTCAGAATGCTCAGGTTAATTTCCCTTCACTGACGAGAGCTCCACTTTGGAGCCTGAGCAGCTAACCTGTGATCCTTTAATTAAATAGGGTCCCTGATTTAGAGGATGAATCAGCAGAGGCTTCACTGGGCACTCAAGTGTAAATGACACAGATCTGTTGAAAGCACCCAAAACATGCCTGAAATCATTTGTATTTGCTGCACGTTTTGTTTTGCACCAATCACGACATCTCTAATGTGCTTTTAATCGTGGATAATAAGGAGAAAAGCTATATGAAGTGCCAATTTTACAGACCATTTTTGACATTGCATTAGCTTACACTAATCCAACTTCAGATCTACGCAGACTCAGTCCATTCATAAGTATAGCAGTGGCACAATCCCTCATGCTCCTAGAGCCACTGAAAATACAGGGCCATCTGTTGTTTTAATGGAGGATTAATTTCTAGGAAACTCGAGTGTCTAGTATCAAAGCTAACATGCTTACATCCCTGTTTGGCCTGTTTTCCGGGCACTAGTTGAATCCCTGTCTCAGATAGTAACCCACATACATATCTTGTGCTTGGGGCAGCATGTGGGTTAGCAGAATAATATATTCATGTTCGCTAAACCTTACATTTCTCAACTTTCCAAGGATCTAGGCAGGTTCAAATGCTGAATCTATTGTCCAGATTACATGCACGTGTATGGAGCTAATTGGATGCTGTTTGTCTTTAGGTGGGGAAATGTACTAAAGAAAGATAATAAAATGTTACAATGTGATGTCATAAACAACCCAGTTTAAGTGACAGAAGAATATTTGACCAGTTATTGTTGTTTATGAAACACACACACCACTGTGCCCAAATGACTTCAGTGTGGTTCTGTGAGGGCACAACAGTCCACCTGCATACTATCAGTTGCTCTGTCAAGGTTTTGACAGAAATTTGGGGGTTTGACTTAAATGGGAGTTGACAGGCCCTCTGTGCTTATTACTGTACTAAGCACTTCACCCATTAGGAAGTTTTAGCAGGATCAGGCCCAAATGACAGTCACCAATAAGGGAAGGTGTGACAATAATTTAGAATTATTTTAATGTTACCACAATTATGTAGCTCTAAGTCTGGCAAGTAACTAAATATCATTACCAATGGTGTACTATTCAGTGGCCCATGTCAGTGGTTCTCTAACTTCTTAAGCTTCGGAGAATAATAATAAAGTTCTCCAAAATTCATAGATGTTTCCTCTCACACACAGCTGGTCAATTTTTTTTTTTTCCAAGGAACAATTTTCTGTCTGAAACTGCAGTTTCATCAAAATCTAAACATTTTATGGGAACGTGTCAACTTTGAAAAAAACCTCCAAAACAATGCTAAATTATTTTGACTTTTTCTCATCTCAGTGAAGTAAATGACTTCATTTTTGTGTTTCATTTCATTTTGACTTCTATTATAATAATTTCTATTTTATACCATTTTGACGTGTTTGAAATGAAACATTTCAATGTATCTGGATAAACACTTGGAATTTGTCTTCTGTGAAATATTTTAACTTTTTGGTCTGATTTGGGATGAAAACAAGTTTTGAAATCTTGGAATTTCCCATGGGACAGAACTTCAGTTTCTGACCAGATCTACTCTCATCCTAACCCCATTAACCACTTACATTTTCTCAATCTCTTCCCCCTTCCCAACCTAATTCTGCTGGTGCAGCTGTGTTGGCTCAAGTTCTAGCATGGCTGTTTTTTTCAGGGCTGGACTGATGCATTCAATGTGGCCTGGGTAAATTCCTTTGAGCCTCCATTATATAAAACTCTGGATAATTTGCACAAGGAGAGAGAGGGTCTTGTCTCAGCTGCAGGGGGTAGTCCTCTCCACACAATTGTTTATGAAAATACTTGTTAATGGTGTGTTCCAAACTGCTC